TTTGGGCTTGGGTTTGAGATGGGAACAGCCTTGACTGCTCTGGCTGACAATCTTCACCAGAGAAGAGACCAGAGTGGCACCCATCTTGATCCTCCTGGATCTCTTGGTAGCTTTGGATACCATCCACCACAATATTCTTCTGGAGAGACTACCTGGGCTGAGACTACAGAGCACCATGCTTTCATGACTCCAACCGTACTTGGCCAGCTGATTCCAGAGGGTGGCACTGGGGGACCGACTGCTGGACCAGGAGGCATTGATCCTGTGGAGTCCCACGTAAGTATGTCTTGTCCCCCATGATGTTTTATATCTATATGAAACTTCAGGGAAAGACTGTCCAGGGATTGGGAATGAGGGATCATAAATATGCAGACAACACTCAGCTCTGTTTCTCTTTAACAGCTGAGTCAGGTGGGTCTTACGCGTGTTTCAGATAGGCTGGTAGATAGTGCTGGGGAGGAGCCACTGGTCGTGGTGCATGTTGGCACCAACGATGTGGGGAAATGCAGTCGTGATGTTCTGGAGGAGAAATTTAGGATGCTGGGCAGGAAACATAGGTCCAGGACCTCCAAGGTAGCTTTCTCAGAAGTGCTACCTATTCCACGCACAGGGCTGGAGAGACAGGCACAGATCAGGAGTCTCAATGCGTGGATGAAACGATGGTGTAGGGGGGAAGGTTTCAAGTTTGTTAGGCACTGGGATGCTTTTTGGAACAAGAGGGAGCTGTACAGGCGAGACGGTCTCCACTAGTCCCAAAAAGGAACCAGGCTGCTGGCGCTTAAAATCGAAAAGATGGCAGAGCAGTTTTTAAACTGAATATTGAGGGAAAGCCGACAGGAAATGAAAAGTCTCTGGTTTGGGTTGGCTCATCTCAGAGAGATGAGGGGGTACCTGTTGCTTTTCTACAGGGAGGTGGATTGAAATTGTCCACTGAGACCATGGCTAGTGACATGGACTGCCTCACAAGGTCTCGAGAGAGCAAGAGGAAGGTTGCAGGCTTAACTTGTATGGGAAATTACAGCTGTTTCTATACAAATGCTAGAAGTGTCCGAGGTAAAATCAGGGAGTTGGAGTGCTTGGTGTCGGAGGGAAAAATAGACATTGTGGGTATTT